ATTGATCTATAGATTCAATATGTTTTCAATAATAGTCCCAATATATATCTTGGTAGAAATGGATAATCTGTTTCCAAAATTTATAAATAAATGCAAACAGGTAGGATAGCCAATATATAAGGAAAAAAAAAAAAAACGTGTTGGGAGGTCGTGCCTCATATCAAGCACTGGGGAAGTAGCGATGAACTAGATAGCGGCCTTTGCCTTTAAAGTGCTTAGCATGGCTCCTTGAACCCTGTTGCTTAATAAATGCTTAATAAGCACAGAACTAATAAACAACTCTGTTCAGTGAAATGTAAAAAACACCTTATAATGGAAAGACTTATCATTGTACTTCATCACTGTTGTTCTGTGCAATGCCCCTAATTAAAGCTGAAATTTCAGTATTCTTCTGGGCCAGAGTAATTATCATGAATTTACCTTCTTACACTCATTTGAGCAGAGAAAACTATTACATTTGAAAAAAGAACTAAGAATAGTGGATGAACAGAAGGATGTTTTCCTACTATTTTTGATATTATGATCATATGCTTTTGCCATATCTGTGGTTAAGGGCTTTTTATGGTCATTTCATCTCTGGGGATCCAGCAGACTCTGACACCAATCCCTAATTTTCTACCCCAGGAGAGACCAGTAGTATTTATAGACATGGTGGAAGCATTCAAGCCTCACTACTCACAGAGTCAGAGGTTTTCAAAACCTGAGGTTCATATAGAATCAAAATTGTAGCATCTTTAATCAGTACAGGTTTGACTTTCAGGTAGAGATGGGAACTTTTCTCAGGTGAGAGATAAACCAATGAGATCAAGGACTTAAACCATAGAAATGCAAAGAAAAATCAGAAGAAAGAAACAGCCAATCAAAGGAAATGGAAAAGATAGAGGATTACATGCTGAAAAGACACAAATTTAGATAAAAACAAAATAGAAAAAATGTCAGCAGGAAGGAGACTAGAAAAGATAGTAAAGATATTTTGACATATAAAATGAGACAAAATGAGAGAAAGCCACAGAAATAGGAACAGAAAGAAAATATGACTTTACCTATAGTGAAGAAAAGTTTAGTCAGAGAAAGACAAAATGAAACTATGGATCATTTGGGAAATGGGCTACTGATTGCAAATTAACTAGGGATATTGATGCAATTGTCTTACGTTTAAATTTCAGGTAAGTGTTAATTTTTAAATTATAAATAAATAGTTGGTAGATTTTGGCATATTTGTATATGGATATAGTTTGCTAAAGAGAGTAAAATTAGGCTGGGCATGGTGTCTCATGCCTGTAATCCCAGCACTTTGGGAGGCAGAGCAGGGTGGATTGCTTGAGATCAGGAGTTTAAGAACAGTCTGGCCAACATGGTGAAACCCCGTCTCTCCTAAAAATACAAAAAAAAGTAGCCGGGTGCAGAAATGGGAACTCTTTTTAGGTGAGGGATAAACCAATCTGAGCAAGAATTAAAGCCCAGCTACTCGGGAGGCTAAGGTAGGGGAATTGCTTGAACCAGGGAGGTGGAGGTTGCAGTGAGCTGAGATTGTGCCACTGCACCCCAGTGCGAGACTCTGTCTCAAAAAAAAGGGGAGAGTAAAATTATGAGAAAGATGATGTACCATTTACACAAAAGGAAAAAGAATTATTGTCATCTGTGAAAAGGTTTTAAATTTATTACAATACTATAGTATCTTATTCCAATTATTTTCAGCAATTTTAAGATAAGCCATAAGCTTATTATTGGAGAATAGATTTTGAGAACTGCAGCTAAGATGCTAGAGAGGCTATAAAAAAATGGTCTCCTCACTAGTTCTCCCTTAATTACCTGGAATAGGTGAATGTGTGACATAAACCTATTCATGCCTCTGCTCTTTGAAATAGTCTTGTTATTACTCCCAGTTCTTTTCTGTTATTTCTTTTCAACCTCAATGTGATTGAATTGTACTAAAATCAACAAGGAACTACAAAGAATCATTGTCAAGACCTAGAAACAGAGTCAAAAGGAAATGAATAGAGAAAAGACAATAAAGGGATTTTAAAAAGTAAAAGTCATGACAGACGGGGCAGTGAGAGGATAAGAAAGAGAAAGTACACACAGAACTAGAGAGTGGAAAGGCGTTTTGGGACCCCAGGCAGTGGAGGAAATGCAGAGAAGTAGCTCAAAGGGTACAAACTTGCAATTATGCAGGAAAAATAAGTCTAAAGATCTAATATAAAACATGACCACAGTTAATAATATTGTAGAAATGGGAACTCTTTTCAGGTGAGGGATAAACCAATGAGATAATGCAGTGAGTTAATAATATTTTAGAAATGGGAACTCTTTTTAGGTGAGGGATAAACCAACATGAGCAAGAATTAAAACCACAGAAACTATATACTGAAAATTTTCCAAGAGAGTAGAGCTTAGGAGCTCATCCCACACAAAGGCACACACGTGCATGCACACACACACAGACATATGGTAATAATTATTTCACTATGTATATGCATATATATGTGTGTATATCAAAACACTCTGCACACCTTAAATATACACAATTAAGAATAATACGAATTACAAATAGAAATATTACTTCCTGTCCTAACTTCAAATCTATTGGCCAGCCTACAACTGAAGTTTCCTAAACATGGAAATCTGTACATAAGGGAGCTGCACATAGGGCAGGAACAAAGACAATTCTAACGAGTGGTGATCCACTTTGTTCTTTGTTCTTTGCATCCTTTGTGAGAATTTAAGAAAATGTGATTTATTTGGGGGTTGAAAGAATTAAAGGAGAAAATATGGAATATTTTCCTGGCATGGGGTAAAATAAAACACTTCTCCACTGTGGCCACAGTATTCTCTCTTTCTGCTCTGTGTGCTCTGTGTGTGTGTGTGTGTGTGTGTGTGTGTGTGTATGTGTTCTATATATTTCAATGTGAATACTTATATCATTTTTATGAGCTCAGCTGTACAACAGGAGGTCAAAGAAAATTTTCCAAGTGAGGAGGAAGAAAAAGTCAGCTGGTGATATTGAAGACTAGAGAGAAAAATATTGCTTAGGGGTAAAGAAAAATAAATACTGTAAACACAGACTCTGCTGGTTGTAAATAATTTGATGGGTAGCTGACTTCTTTGTTTAAGACAAGGGTCTCAAATGAAACCCTTCATATTGCCTAGACTGGAGACGAGTACCAGGGTAGAGTCTGATTCATAGAAGATGGGAGATGCCTGGACTTGGGTAAAAATAGAGAAAGAGAAAAATTCTTCTTATTACATGCAGAAGATGGCTTTGTATTTTATTTTGTTCCTCAGGTGTAGATTCTAAGTCACTTCCTCTTTGGAATTCTAGGTTGTGCAATCTAAGAACTTTCAGTCTTCATGGTATGAAACTGAGATTAAGAATCCATCAAGGAATTGTTTAAATAAAGCTTTTTATTAAATATAATGGAGATAAGAAAAAGAAGCAGTTAGCTATCTGGAGCCTTGTGATATGAATTTGAGGTCACATTTGGATAGATTTTTACTTTAGGATGAGGCTAAGTATTATGTTAATCTTTCCAGAGATCAGGGACTAATGGTCCAGAAGGAGGGATGAGGAAAATGCTGAGATGTTGCTACAGAGAGGTTGTGCTGAAGTCTATGAGGCCCAGAATCTAAGGGACAAGGTAAGTAATTTTCTCAGGGACACTTAATGGAACTAGACAGGGTTAAAATAAAGAACTAGATAACAGAAGGAGCAGATGATCTCATAATGCTCAGCTACTATACCTAGTGCCGTCAACACAGGATATAGCAAGGGCAACACTGGTACCCAGCACAGGAGGGGAGGCTATTGCAATAAAAAATGCTGAGGAAAAATATAGCCAGACATTAGCATCATGTTTTGAAAGACTCAGAGAGATCTTGGCTGTTTCTAAGAGGCACTGATAGTGAATATTTAAAATCTAAATTCTGAATTGCCATGAGTTCACAGAAGTAGGGGCAAGTGGGTCAGAAAATTAAGAACCACTTAATATTTGAATTGACGATTCTTTTAAAAATGGTACGATAAGTATCATTTGAAGAGAGAAATCATTCAATCAAGGACACGATGAATAGAAATAAAGTGGAATAGTACCTCTTTAAGATGTGTAATAGATAACTGTTAAATGTGTTGTTCTCCTTTTGTGGGAGAGCAGAAAGGAAACTGCCCTTAATGGACTTTCATAGTTACATTGTGATGTTATGGCCTAAAGATTTATTTTCAAACTATTTAAGCTCTTATTTCATACACACACACACACACACACACACACACACACACACACACACAGCACTGTATATATAGTTATTTTTTACTATGAAGACTTTTTTTAGGCCGGGAATAGTTGCTATACTAGAAATCTCAAAACTATGTCAGTTAAATAGCAGCTCAATAAAGCTTGCTGGGCTTACAGATTATGTTTCTCTTGTTCATCCTCTCTTTTCATATGTGAGGTATTTATTTTCTATCACTAAAATATTAAGTATTTAAAATGTTTAAATATTACAAATCATTAAATAAAAGACATCTGAATAGAAATTATGTTGAGTCCGTGGGATCAATTTGATTGTTATGAATGAAAGGATAGCCTAGAAGCAATAACTGATTAACTCAAGAATATTATTGGCCAGAAATGCATCAAATCCATAGAAATTTACTCTGACTTCCCTCTATTTCCATCTTTATAATAATTAGTAAGTTTTTCTCTATTCTCATGTTGCTTAAATTCCTCAGTGTCTTCAATGCAAATCCCACACACTTCCTGTCAGAGATGACTGTATTGGTGTAGTCCACATTTTTGTTCCAGAATTTGGTGCTCCTTAATATTGGGAAATGTTCCTTACATAGAGCCAACAACAGGTAACCACCTTCCTTCCTCTGTGAGGTTAAAGAAAAGACATATTTTTGTCTTGATTCCATTGTTTGTGCTCAAAAGAGACAACTTTGAGGGATGAGGAAGAAAACCACCCATTCCTTACTATTTGCTGAGCTACTCAAAGTCACTATGGTAGACTGGAATAACAGTGATACTATGGAGCCCATATTCATCCTGAGGGGTTTTCCTGGACTAGAGAATGTTCATTCTTGGCTCTCAATCCTCTTTTGTCTTGCATATTTGGTAGCGTTTATGGGTAATATTACAATTCTCTCTGTCATTTGGATGGAATCCTCACTCCATCAGCCCATGTATTACTTTATTTCAATCTTGGCAGTGAATGACCTGGGGATGTCCCTGTCCACACTTCCCACCATGCTTGCTGTGTTATGGTTGGATGCTCCAGAGATCCAGGCAAGTGTGTGCTATGCTCAGCTGTTCTTCATCCACATATTCACATTCCTGGAGTCCTCAGTGTTGCTGGCCATGGCCTTTGACCATTTTGTTGCTATCTGCCATCCACTGCACTACCCCACCATCCTCACCAACAGCGTAATTGGAAAAATTGGTTTGACCTGCTTACTGCGAAGCTTGGGAGTTGTACTTCCCACACCTTTGCTACTGAGACACTATCACTACTGCCATGGCAATGCCCTCTCTCATGCCTTCTGTTTGCACCAGGATGTTCTCAGATTATCTTGTACAGATGCCAAGATCAACAGCATTTATGGGCTTTGTGTAGTCATTGCCACACTAGGTGTGGATTCGATCTTCATACTTCTTTCTTATGTTCTGATTGTTAATACTGTGCTGGGTATTGCATCTCGTGAAGAGCAGCTAAAGGCATTCAACACATGTGCATCCCATATCTGTGTGGTGCTCATCTTCTTTGTGCCAGTTATTGGGGTGTCAATGGTCCATCGCTTTGGGAAGCATCTGTCTCCCATAGTCCACATCCTCATGGCAGATATCTACCTTCTTCTTCCCCCAGTCCTTAATCCTATTGTCTATAGTGTCAGAACAAAGCAGATTCGTCTAGGAATTCTCTGGAAGTTTGGTCTAAAGAGGAGGTATTAAGTCATCTCTATCCTCCAACTTTTCCACTGAAAATGTCATGGAAACTATTTTAGTATATGAAAAGTAAAATATCTGGGTGTTGCTCATTTGGTTAAAATCTTAATTCTTTCACTTTTATACATGTAATTTTGGTTAATCTTTAACCTATATGAAACTCAGGATTTTTTTTTGGCCAAATTGTGACAACTATGGTCCTATGTATTCTCCAGATCATTACAAGACTTAAAATAGACAGTGTATGTGTTAAGTCAAGTTTTCTGAAAACTATAGAAATGTATTAATGTTATTAAGTTGTCATCGTTGTTAATGATAATAATAGCAGTATCTTTCCTTATTAAATGCAACTATGTTCATATTGTTTCTCATGTTAATTATCTAAAACTCAGAAATCCATCTCTATCTCTTTTACTAATACCGTTGCCCTTATTTTGTTTTTCATGCTATAATGTTATAACCATTGATGAAAAATTTCTGAGTTCTTAGGGCAGGTTTGGAACTTGAGTTCCTGACAGGATTTTGAACTACTGCTGTGGCTGTTTGCTATGCAGAAATTCTAATCTCATAACTTAGTGATGTGCCCTTTCTCTTATTGCTATTCTAGATCTATCAGCTTCTTCAATTTGCCAGCAAATACTGAGTTAGATATGGGGGAGTGTTAAGAAATACAGGTTTAGTCACTTATCACTTGCAAAATCAAATAACAAGAACAAGGGTGGTAAAAACAAAGTGACTATTCCAGAGCTTAGTGATGAGTAAGGACCAGATTTGTACTGAAAAGAACCACTTCATCTTTCTGGACAGAAAGCAGGGTTTTAAGAAAAGAAATTTTGATATGCAGGCCATGCAAAAGACACACGGACTTGTGGAGTCTATATGACTTGCTCATGGCTGTTTATCTTGAGTCATCTGGTGGGTCATCCAGTGGTCCGCCTGTAGGGGAGAATTTGGTAGGGTGCTTGGTTTCTTTGAAGACTTGTTCTATGGAACTTCTAGGCAAACACAGAGTTAGATAAGCTGGTTGTTGCAGGTGGTTTGGCCAGTGGAAAGAAAGGAATGTAAAAGTTGTAATTGCATTCCTAAAGAGCTGAAAGGTAAGGGAAAAGGGGAAAAAATGATTTAAAAAATAGATTTTTTTAAAAAAGTGGGATACTCAGTTACAGGAATTGGTGAAGGCCTGACAGTACATGTCTAAACATCTGGGAAATTGTGTTGACTCTGTTCAATACTATAGGACAGGATTTTACGTCTTAATTCATGAGTGGATTGAGAGTTGTGCACAATCTCAATCCTCATCTTTTAATAATACTTTTACTTCTTGTACTACATGCCTATGTGGATCTGTAGTATTGTGTTTATACCAATTTATTTTTCATAACCATTTTTTTTCTTTTTCACTGGAATGACATACAGATATATTTTTGGATGATATTTTATTATTTCATATCAACTCACTTTCTTTTCAGCTGTATTGCCAACTTTTTGAATATGGGGTCATGTCTATTACCTTATCACAGCACTATATTGCTGGTCTTCCCCAACGATCATAAGTACTTATTAAATAGTTGAAATAACTATTGTAATTATTGCTGTTAGTACTTGGGATACATAAACTGCAAAATGCATAATGTTAATGTTATATAATGAATGTGTAATAGTGAAGACATATAAATAAAAGATTAGCAAAATTAAATGTAACCAATGGTATTATTGGAACAGGTACATTTTACAATATTGATATTAATAAGTAGTCAACTTGAGGATTTAGGAATTGAGAATTAGAGTAATTGACACTTTCACTGTGCATTGTGGGTCAAATTCATTCTTGACCAGTTGAACACAGTTGGAAATAAAGTCGTGTGCTGAAGCTGGCACATAAGAGAAAACCATGCATATCTTCTTCCGCTTTCATGTTCTGTAATATCATATAGGTAGTTTCAAATTGGTTATGATGGAAGTATTTAAACCACAGAAATTGGCAAACATTGTACATCAGGGTTTTAAATTTTTTCTTAAAGACATGATGGTAAAATACTTCCCAACACATCACTGGGCAAGGAATTCTAGAAAGAGGAGGTAACATGAGAAAACCAAAGAGTTTAGAAAGACTATGTCATAGTAACATTCTTCAAATTAACTTAAAAGTTACCCAAAGCATTTTGCATTCCCTCCCACAAAAAAAAAGGGCTATGACATAGGGTATGTTGGACCAAAATATGTATGTACTTTCAGCCCTATTTCAATGAAAGATTTGTAGCCCCAAATGCTGGCAGTGAGTCCAATAGAAAGCCTTCTTTTTTTTTTTTTTTTTTTTTTCTTTTTTACTTTTTTAGGAATTGCCTCAGCTGGAGAAGTGTGCCTTGCCTGGGGTCATCCATTAATTCATTCAATGACTAGGTAGAAAGTTAGAAAGGTCTGGCCCTTTCAATCCAATTCCCTGGACAATTTTATACCCAAAACTCCCCGAGATGTTGGACAAGGCTGTCTTCAGGCCTGATTCACAGCTCAACTTTTCCTTCTGCCAATCCTACCCACTTTCATTACTTTTTATTTTTAAGATGATTTATTTTTAAGATGATTAAGTCCTCTCCTGCTGGACTCATGCCTGTCTACCTGTAACATAAGAAAGATGAAATAAAATTCTCAGGCACTTTTTCTTTTTTTGCAGGCAGATGAAACAGGATAAGAATTCAAGAGGAAATAGCCATGGTTTTTCAATCTCTTAAGTTTTAAGCAGAGGACCAAACACAGTGTATGTATGAGCCTGGAGAAATAAAAGTAACCCTGTAACTTTAGCTGACATTGTAAGATGTATATATATAACCATCTTCTATAATCTATGTACTTTCTTAATGACGTGTCTGATGACTAGAAATGTTTTTAATTTTAATTAAGTCTAATTTATAAATTTGCTTTTATGTTTAGTGTTTTTATGTATTTTAAAGGAGATATTTGCCTATTCTGTCATTCAGGATCCAGTCAGAAGACAAAAATCACATGGTAATTTGAATAAGAGTTTGTAAATACAAACACTTATTATTTTTGTAAGAAAATCAACTTTAAAGAAGGTAAAGACAACTCTAATACCCTAGAGCAGGCGTCCCCAAACTTTTTACACAGGGGGCCAGTTCACTGTCCCTCAGACTGTTGGAGGGCCACCACATACTGTGCTCCTCTCACTGACCACCAGTGAAAGAGGTGCCCCTTCCTGAAGTGCGGCGGGGGCCGGATAAATGGCCTCAGGGGGCCGCATTCGGCCTGCAGGCCATAGTTTGGGGACACCTGCCCTAGAGCTAAGGGAGAATATTGAAAGAAAAAAGAAACTTGGAAAATGGGGAAGGACCTCCCCAAGCCTGAGGTTGAAACTTCATTTGAGAATGCATAATTTTAGCATACTGGATTCCAGAAAGGGTCATTACATTGCATGTGTCAAGAAAGACACCTCTGTGGGATGTAGGTGAACCAAGGTGACACACTGATTCCTTTTCAAGGCTGAGTAGAAGGAAGCACCAGATGGGGTGAGGCTCCTTGGTAGGGATCTATAGCTCGCATTGGCAAGCAATTGATAACTCTTTGAAGTACAGGTGGGCAGCAAATCACAGCTTGGACTGACAATCTGGAAACACCCCTTCAGGGTCCAAATAGATTACAGCTGGGAAGCCAGCTCCTAGAGTAACTGCAAGATTCAGTAAGAGTCTAGCAATATAGGTATTGCTGAAATTTGATAGGGTGAGTATTACTAAATACTTCTCATACGTATCTCTGGTTTTTGCACTGTAAAAGAGAAAAATCAGAGAGGTACACAAGAATTTCTCCTAAAAGTGTCCCTATAGCATCCTCTGCTGGCCAAGTTTAAAATCTTGAATCTGTGAAGGAAAAAACGCCCATTGAGCCCAGTTGCATTGTTGCAGAATAAACAATTAAGTCTATATTTGAAACTGGGACAATAAATAAATAACTGAAATATTTACTGATATCAATGATATTCTGTGTAATTTTTGAAAGTTGTAAGGCTTTCCTTTTGATATTTCTAAATACAACATGTAGAATTTATTTTTATAGATGATGAGGTAAGGTCAAGGCGTATTTTTTGATATGAATACATATTTGACTCAGAACTGTGTAAAAGAAAATAAAATTTACAAGACCCCTCAGATTTGTGCAGAAGTGAATACTAAGCCCTAAAGGTGAATCATTGCAACACTCTCTTTCACATAAATAACTGTTACTAACATTATATATCAGCCAGACTGGAAAGGTAAATGGCCTCAGACATCTGAAAAGGGCTACCTACAGATCACTCATGAGTAAATTCTTTGCTTGCCCCCCATAAACAAGGACATGCTAATTGTAACTTTAGGTCCACAATCTAAGTCTAGCTCCTAAAACTCCACACCTATTATGTTGCTTATAAGTTGATCTTACCAGGTGCAGAAAAACGTAAAGATTCATTTCCCTCACCTAACCAGAGACAGACTACATAATTAAGTCTTCCTTTACTCTCTTTCTCGCTTCAGACATTCACCTTATTTTACGTATAATGTACATTTACTAGATACTAACTAAAGTCTCAGGAATGTAAAAGGTGTTAGGGAGAGACATGTAGGTTAGGCAATAGTCCTAACCTGCATGCCTCTCTCTAACATCTTTTAAAGAAATGTATAAGTATGAAAACTTCTGAAAAACTTTGTGGAAATAACACAGATGTGTCTGTGGCTTTTCTTTTTCCCAGAAGTACCCTAAATTTGGCTTAATAAACCTCAATGATTAAGACTTATGCCTCAGTGACTCATTTTGGTTTTCAATCCTTGAATAAAGCAATACTTATCCCCTGTACCACAGTGCTTCCATTGTCATATGCTCTAAATGTATATATTTGGTTCTATTTCTGGTATTTCTGTTCTGTTCCGTTGGACATAATTTTCTATCCTTGTGCTGATCCATGACTGTCATTAATTATGATTTTATGTTAGGTTTTGGTATAAGGTAGTGTTAGCCCAACA